ATAGGGAAAATGGCTAGATTGAGGAAGGATGTTACAAAAAATGTTAAGCCACTGCAAAACAATATAACCAGAGGAAGGAGGAAGAAACAAGTTACACAGAAAGTGAGATAATGCTGAACTGGCCAAGACATTTTAATTAAGTAACTAGGGCCCTACCAAATTCGCAGTCCATTTTGGTCAATTTCATGGTCCAAGGATAGCAAACTTCATGATTTCAGCTATTTAAATCTGAAATTTCATGGTGTTGTAATTGTAGGGGTCCTGACCCAAAAAGGAGTTGTGGGGGGGTCGCAAGGTTATTGTAAGGGGGGGGGGGTTGCGATACTGCTACCCTTACTTTTGCGCTGCTGCAGACAGTGGTGCAACCTTCAGAGCTGGGTTCCCAGCCAACAGCCGCCGCTCTCCATCTGTCCAGCTCTGAAGGAAGAGCTGCCGCCAGCAGCAGCACAGAAGTAAGGATGACATGGTATGGCATTTGCTACCCTTACTTCTGCGCTGCTACTGGTGGAGCACTGCCTTCAGAGCTTGGCACCCAGCCAACAACCACCACTCTCCGCCCACCAAGCTCTGAAGGCAGCACAGAAGTAAGGGTGGCAATTCCACAATCTCCCCTAAAATAACCTTGTGGACTCCCCCCCCCCCCCCGACGTCAGGACCCCCAATTTGAGAAACTCTGGTCTCCCCTGTAAAATCAGTATAGGATAAAAGCACACAAAAGACCAGATTTCACAGGGGAAGACCAGATCTCATGATCCGTGATGTGTTTTTCATGGCCATGAATTAGGTAGGGCCCTATAAATAACACATCAAAATAAATATGAATGAACCAATGTTTTGACATGTGTTGTCTTTAACTGCCTGGCTTACAACACGGGATTCCTTTTCAAATAAAAATGACATAATCAACTAAATATAAACTATCAGTATTTTCACCATTTTGTCCAGAGAAATGAATATATCAGGAAACTGTAAGGATTTGTTCCAACTAAAAAGCCGTTTTACAGAATACCATTCATTTCTAACACATTTCTGTTTAAATAGATAGATCTCATTCAGTTTTATCATTATATTAGGATAGATGAATACACAGCCTACTCACCTCTTAGGAAAACTGTAAAAGACTGAATCCTGAAATGTGGTTTGTTGTTGGAATATCCTTGGAAAGCACTCAGAGCTTTTGCATCTATCATTTCAACTAGCTGTTTATCTTACAAAATAAACAAGTGTAGAATGTTATATTTCTTAAGAGTGGTACTTTACTCTTTAAAGAATAAACTAAGTAAATAAAAATGTATCAAAAGTAGAAAGATAATTTAGAACTAAAAGAAAAACTACATAATTCTTACCACCAAGTACTCTAAATTTCATGTCTTCTTGCAGTGGTGAAGCACATAAACTGCATACAAAATCATTCCTCACTGTTGCAGACTCTGTAGCTCCAGGAATATGCACTCTTATATAATTAAACCCTAATAGAAAGCGTTACATAGACTATACAGCCAAATATTTCTTCACATTTAGTCATAATAATTTGTAATGGACTTTACTTAAAATATATAATTGGTTTTAAATGCAGTTTATTTCAGTTTACTATATGGTAACAAGTATAAGCTCTGAAAACTTCCTGGCTCTTTAAAAATGGCACACAGCCTTCATTTTAATCCCCCAACCAGAGTGGTAGAGTGAGTAAAGCATTGAATTGAGAATCAGGAGTTCTCAAGTGTCGAATTTTTCTGTTCTTAAGATGAACAGTTTTATTGAATGTTCTGTGTTTCTCTCATGACTTGGGAGTCTGTCCCCCTGCCACCAAATAAAAATCAACAATTATGGTATACTGGCCCTCCGAGCCACATACAACAATCATCAGAAGTTTGAGAGCTGGGGCACACCTGCTGGGAGCTGGGACTCAGAACTTCAACCCCACTCCTGTTGAAGCCCCAAGCCCCGGCAGGTGTGTCCTGCAGGGCTGATGCCCTGAGACCCCTCTCCCCGCTGGACAGAAGCCCCTACCCCCGCCCACCCCACTGCACGGCAGAGGTCCCAAGCAGCCCCCTCCCAGTCTGGTAGGCGGAGAATGGAGAGGGGGGTTTGCGAGCCACATTTAATGGTAAAAGAGCCGCATGTGGCTCGTGAGCCACAGTTTGGCCACCCCTGGCTTGTAGTTTTACCACTGGATGGCAGAATTGCTTATTACAGATTCTTAACCTCATCGTGTTATCCTAGTTTTGTGAGAAGCAGTCAGAGAGATATGTCCCTATGTGCTCCATTCAAAACTACATGAGGTCTCTGTGTTTATTATTATAAATATGTCTTCTTGATTAAAAACATAATTACAATGTGTTCTAAAATGAATATTCTAACATTGGGAATTAGCTTCTCTTTTATACCTTCACAGTCACTAAGATTGTGAAAAACAATTTTAGGGGTTAATCCTGCAAAAGCTTTAGCACCAGAGTAATTTTATGCAGGAGAATAGTCTCATAGAAATCAAAGAAGTTATTAAAGTTAACAAGTTCTAGACTGCTGTGAAGGAATCAATCCTAATCTAGTCCTGCTGTATAGGCAGGAGTCTGACACTGGCCAGGTCTTCACTAGAAACTTTTGCTGGTATAAGAACATTGGTTAGGGTATGAGTCTTTACAACATTTTTATACAGGCAAAAACCCCTAGTGTACATAGTTTACCGGCAAAAATGTCCTTTAATTAGTAGAGCTTATTTTGTTCAGGGAACTGTTATAAGCTATATCGGCAAAAGAACTTGCCGGTATAAGATGTCTCTACTTAGGGGATGTGTGTGTGGGGGAGTTTGCTGGTATACAGGCAACGCTTTGTAGTGTAAATCTGGCCACTGACCAGAATAAATCAGAAAGTTGTGATGTTCTCACTACATCAAAATGCATCCTGGATATGCAGTTCCCTTGAGTAAATTACATACAAATCTATACAGGAAAATGACAAGTTTGTCTAGATTTTAATGTAAATAATGAGTTCGAGTTAATGGGCTAATCAGTCAGAGAATCTTTTGAGTCTAGAACTTTCCTCATTTTACATTTTTTTTCTTACCTTCAGAAAATGGACAGGTTTCCTCAGAACAAAGGAATCTTGCTCCTTGTGTGTATTTCGTTACAGTTCCCATTGCAATCACTATTCCCTCTGACATATAAAATCTCTGAGACATGTAATCAAGTGGAAACTCACAAAGGCTGAGAACATAACTTGGCAGAGGAGGCAAGTGTGTTGGTTTCAACACTATATTAATCTCATGAGAGAAAAAGGGTTGCATTAAAACAAAAATCTTTTTTATTTGAAATGTTTAGTATAAATGACAAATGCTCATGTACAAAACCCAATGTGGTCCACAGTTACAAAAACATATTCCAGGGACGTGCCAAATAAGGTGAAAATAGCTCATAGTCACATATATCCACCTTCTCATACCCAGAGTATGCATGGGTAAGAAGTTCCAACTATTTTTTTTTTTTAGATTGATAGGACTGTTGAATGAAAGTGAAAATTAAAACTGAAAAATTAACACCAAAAAGATAGCTAAATACAACTTAATATTGTTTGAAAATTACTTTATTTTTATGTAAGCTGGTAAAAAGTTTAAACTCACTTGGGCCTCTGTCTGTAATTGTTCAATTAATGACAGTGTTTTAATAGCTATGAAACAGACCTGTAATTAAAAAATAAAATGATTTTGCAAAGAAAAATTTGGTTTAAAACGTTGAATACATTTCTGCCTCTGTAAACATACAAATTCACTTACCGACTGAAAAATCTGTGCAGCTTTCATGGGTTTGTGTAGAATCTGATTGCCAAGAGCTGCATCCAACTCAGCAATATCAGAAGGATTTATCGAAATAATGAATCGATAAACAGCATAACTTTGCTTTGAGTCTGTAAGAGCAGAGAGTCAATATGCAAGTGTCTCAGAGCACAAAATATAGAAATAAGGTATATTTTTCTTTAAACTAACTTTGTTTGGTCTGTCAATATTAATAGAAGGTTTACTGAACAAACAGTACCATTATATCGTTTGCAATCGTCCACAAATTTCTGAAGGCCACCACTCCTATCAAGGTAAATAAGGGCAACCTCTTTCATTCTCAGAAGATCTGGTCTCATCTTCCAATGAAGTTCTATGCTCTCTTTTATCAAAATGTTAGAATATATTAATATAAATCATAGGTGGTAGAATTAGAGTCAGAGCTCAAGAATGCTGTAATAATAAAATAAGTAAGGATAAAACATATATAATAAAGACATCATACCTGTCAAAAGTGAAACCAGGCGCCAAGAAACTAAGCAAAGACAAATATTGCCTTCTATAACATTACAAACAATGTAACTTTCAGAAATATTTTTGTCTGACTTCCCCTTCAAAATGGAAAATCCCTTGCTCACAAAGAAATACAGTATTATGTTGTTACTGTAATTTTTCTAATAATAATGTTCCAGTATTTTGCGACAATGAACTATTTTGTGACTTTTAGAACTTGGAGACCCAGAAAAGTGTCCCATTCTTTAACAAAAATTCTAAGGTTTTTGTGTAGTATAGAGTTATACCCACCATAGGAAAAAAAAATCACACAATATTTCTGTGCATTAACTAGATGATGCCTTATGGGGAAGGGCAGTACAACCAGTCAGTCACAAGTTTTTACACAGAGTGAAATTGCATTACATAGATTAACATTTAGATTAATGTTGTCATTTCCTTTATGTTTTCTAATTTAGGCCCTGATCTGTGCAGACGCTTATGCTAGTTTTAATTTGAGTAAAACCAATGGAAGTACTCATATGCATAAAGTTAAGTATATGCATAAGTGTTTTCAGGACTGGGATCATATTTTGTAAGCTCTTTGGGGTAGGCTGATTGCACTTTTATTTGTTTGGTCTATATTGTACATTAGGCACATCAATGTTGTTATACAAACACAATAAGTAATAAAAAATCATATATGTTGTCTCTTACTTTAAATTCTCCTTTCTCCAAGTATCCAGGTCCACAGATTCTTCATTGGATTTTCATGTCCCCTGCAAACTTAAGGAGGCGGAACCAGACCAGTCAGTCATCACGGACCTGGAGTTAAGCTCTGCACCAGAAGTGCCTATTTCCTATTCTCCTCTGCATCCAGATCCACAGATTCCACAGTGTGATTTTCACAGGATGCAGCACAATCAGGAAAAGTTACTTAGTCTAAACACTCATAAATATTTACAATTTTTTTAATTTAAAAAATATATTTTTACTAAGACCTTACACATGTACACCTTCCAGTTAAATGTGGTTTAGATTGAAGATTGTTAGTCCAGTTTGTACGTCTGTCTAGTTTGCTTCCTTCTAGATCTCATCTCCACAGAAATTCATTGTGATGGAATTCACCCCGGGTTCAAACCTCACACACTATTATAATAATCTTTGTACAAGGAATGCCTTGTGAGGTCTCATTAGAAAACTCGTAATTTGATGATCAGTGATATCATGGTAAAATGTGTGTGGCAGCTTTATGCATTAAGTTATACATTTCCTCTGTTTGATGTTAAAAATACATGTGCAGACTCACATATCACCAAACTGGTCAAACAGACCTGGTTTGAACAAAGTATATGCTTGTCTTAATTGGCATTAACACAGTAAACAGAGTCATCAACCAGAAAAGGGGAAAGGAGAAAACAAAGGGAGCTCACACAGGTGAAAAAGCCCAGCAGGGAACAGCCTTCCTCCTATAGACTGCCTGTCTCCTGGTTCTCAGCTGGAAATGCTTTTCAAAGAGGGACTAAAACACTATAAAAAGGCAGGGCAAACACCCCAAGCCACCCCTGTCTTCCCTGCCCACTGTATTCTCCGCACCTTAGAAGGCAACGACAACAACTGTTGGATGTTAGGGGCAGTGCTCTGACCTGAAGCGTTTGGTCAGTAATGCTGCTGAAAGCATGTGTTGAGAAACTATAATTGAATCTAATATAGTTTGTTAAATTAGGCATTAGAGAGTGTTTTATCTTTATTTTTCTTGTAATAATTTCTGATTTTTATGCCTCATTATTGGTACTCACTTAAAATATATCTCTTTGTAGTTAATAAACTTGGTTTATCTAATCCACTGAGTTTATATGAAAATTTCTGGGTAACTCTATTTAAGGTAGTAAACCGTTGTATTCCCTTAAAGGAATAAGAGATTTAATATATTTGGACTGTCCAGGAGAGAGCTTGGCAGTACAAGACATACATTTCTGGGGGGAAATTCAGGAGTTGAGAGTTTGTTGGGATCACCCTGCAGCATAATCAAGACTGGTGAGAGCCAGGGTGTGACCCAGTTACACAAATACATCTGAGTGCGACCTTCCTGCTGGTGGCTGTTTCTGAGCAGGCCAGGTTGGAGGAGGCATTGCAAGGCACTCCAGGTTACAGGGCAGGAATGACAAAGCCTCCCAACAAGTCTGGGTAGCACCCGGGTATATCACATTCACCCTGTGCAGATAGCCAACACAAGACACCACTTAAGTCTTCAAAAATAGCTCTGGCCATCCACTGCAATTGAGGAAGCAGAACTGGTGGGCTTTTCAGGGGGGCAGAGCTCACTCAAGGAAGATCTGTAGTATTTGTGGAGCTAACTGCATTTTCCCTTCACATTGAGATAACTGGATGTTTATGGAGAGCTGTCTGTAAGCTGGGATAAGGCAAAACTATATATTGTGTGTGTCTTGTGGGCCTGTGCAGGGGAATATGAAGTAAGGGCCTGAAGTGTTAATATGAAAAACTGTAACCCCAACGTGAGGAATGATTCCATTAGAGTGTTCTCTAACTCCTGGGAATTGCTCCCACATGACCTGCAGCTGCTTTGATAAATGCTGCTCTGTTCCTTAAAACCTCAAGGAAAATTGAACACATTCCATTAAATTCAAGCCATGCACATCCAATTTAACCACAGCCGGACAGTAACCATGCACAGACAAATCCAGCTACCCGGAGTTTCTTTCCCCCACCCCACTGACACTACACTGCTGCAGAGAGAAGAAAATATGGGACTACTGCAGTTTAAAATACTGTTCATGTTGTTCCTAGACACACTTTGAACACTAGCTGGATACCCTGGCATGCTGAACTGCCCAGCCAGCGACACCCCCCCCCCACAATTATCCTCCCTGCTGGCACCTCTACACCCTCCCCACTATCTCCCCACCTACACATCACCACTGGCATCACTACACCCCCGCACTGACGCACTACTCCATCTTACCTGCTAGCACCTCTACACCACCACTGATTCACTACCCCCCCCTTACCTGCTGGCACCATTACGCCCGTCCCCACAGACCCACTACCCTCCCTCGCTAGCTGGCACCATTGCCCCCCCTTCCCCTACACTGACACACAGCCGCACCTTACCCGCTGGCACCGCTACACCCCCACCCCCCACACTGGCACCCCTGTTACAGCGCTGCCATGGTACTTGCACAGCAAGCAGGTCAGGGGGAAGGGCGAGAGCTCCCACCGGGGAGGCGGGGGCAGGCGAGGGGCTGGAAGGGGGCTTCTTCGGGCGCAGCCTCTGGCGGACCGGGGAGGAGCCCTGCACCCCTCCCCCCGGCCGCTCACCCACAGACAGGCGTGGGCCTGAGGCGCCTGCCGCCTCCCTGAGCTGAGCTGGGCTCCACGAGGCTGGGAGAAGCGGGTCGGAGTACGGGCGCAACAGCGGCCCCAAGCGTCCGACGGGCGTCGTTGCACATGAAAAGTTCCTGGCCGGCGGGTGTCGGGGGAGAGGGCCTGAGCCCAGCCTGCCTCCCTGCTCGCGCCCCTCACCACACCCGGGCACCTGCTGATCCAGCACAAGACAGCCCCCTTCAGCGTGGGGCCGGCCGGCCTGCCTGCCGCAGAGCACCTATGCTGATGCGCCTTCCTCCCCTCCCCCCTACAGCGGAATACCTACTAACGCAGCCCAACGTGCGCCAGCCTAAAACCCTAATTCCTCCCAGTGCAGGATGCCCCCCGCCCATCCAAGGCACTCCCACCCAGGCCCAAGATTGATGCATCTACAGAGCCACATCGGCTGTGACCCCCCCCAGGCTGTTCTGTCCCCCAACATAGAGCCCCCCCCCATTACCCACAGACAGGGCTTAAATTCTCAGAGCATTCCCTGAGCCCCCTATGCCTCCTCCACCCCCACATGCTATGAAAACTAGTGGAGGGGGGGGGGGGGCTTGAAAATATTTATCAGCGCTCCACTCGGGCCAGCTTCCGCTGAATTTAAGCCCTGCCCACAGAGGTATTCCCACCCTGGCCTTAGACACCCAGTCCTATGTTTCATGTGCCACATGCTGTGTAACAACATTGGAGGACTCCATGTTTCTACAAACTGAACTGGCTCTTTATTAAGAATACTAGTTACAGGGATGCTGCAACTGGTGCCTGCATTCCAGCCCCGTGCACAGACTGACCTGGTGCTTCCTCCAAACTCTTCCCACCGGAACCTGTGCTCCTCCTTCCAAATTGTATGCTGATTTGTTATCTTTCCTTTTAACAATTTTTTTTCCTGGACCAACCTCTACAAAAGAGCCAACTGGAGCACAGGACAATGCATGGTTGGCTGCAATGTCAGTACTACCACCATCACCACCCTATGTCCCTTATTTACACCAAGGGAGATTCTGTTATGAAAACTTTACAAAAAGGGTAGGCAGGCCAGCAGTAGCCTTCTTTAGTAGCAGTAACTCCTAGTATTACTGCTAACAATGTCATTCTAAGTATTTTTCCTGTATAGATTTGTCCTTTATCTAGGAAAATGTTAAGAAGCAAGCTACAGCAACCAACTGGATCAAATCCCCCTCCCCCCCACCATGTATATTCTTACAAAACAACCAAAACACCATACTCAAAGATGCAATTCCCTTTTCTAGGGCCAGTCTCCAAATTGGTCTCGAGTATTGGAAATTCAGATTTTAAATTAATGAAAACTTCTTCCGAGTTAGAGGGCAGCACTCAGGCTTCAGTAAGGAGTGCACAATGGTTTGTGTGTTCTGCTAAAGCTTGCTATTTCATAAGACTTTGCACTTTATATAGTGCATTACCCTTTGAATTCAGTCTATGAATTAGTTTTAAAACCTATAATGAAATCCTGGTGTAAGCAGAGTAACTTTTGGTCTTAGGTAGAGAAGTGTAAAAGCAGGAAAAATTGATTTACTATTAGGTTCAGCCATACATGATGGATACTCAGAAGACTCCTGGTCTGCAGTTACAGATTTTCTCTTTGAGAAAGAACTGAGGGGCTATATAGTTTGACATTTCACCGCTTGGAAAAAATCCTTAAACTGCTACATTCCTCTTCTTGGTAAAGCAGTGATATCACACCCTATTTAAAATTAGAAAGTTTAGGATACAAATAGCCAAGGAGATAATCTTTACAAAGCCAACACCTCAGAGAAAACATTTTATTGAAAAGAGGACGATGGAGGCTGAAATTAGCAGAATTATATCCCTTTCATTCCCTCTCTCCTTTTACTACTACTTCAGTTAGCTAGCAGAGGTACATGAGCAGACAGACACCTTGTGTCAATTCTTCAGTGTTTCATCAGTGTTAATCATTGTGCAGGTGACATACAAAGGATTATTGCTTCAAGTGAGAAATTCACTTTGGTTTAACCTTCTGAGAATTTTCAACTGACATAGCTTTCTAGGCATATTATTACTTTTTACTTACAAGTGTCCTATTAGAAATGCTACTTTCCCTGATCTTCACAAGGGATTCTATTCCACTGCAACAAGATCTGTAGCTTAATGTTTATCTTAATTACTTGGATTTTGTTTTGTTAGCTATGACACACAAGTTGCATTTTTATGATCAGAGAAACTTCAATGCTTACATTTTTTTTAAATTTCTTTCAAGGAGTTAAGATCTCATGGTGATCTAGTTAAAGGCACTGAAATGCATTGTGAAAAGTGTGCTCCCACACTTACCAAGTGACAGACAAACCTGTTATTTACAACCAAAGTGAATCACAAATATTATTACTGCTATAAGTAAGTCACATTAAAACTGGAGCCAACTTTCAGGATGTATTGTGTTTAAAAAAACCCAAACAAGTTGATCAATATTAGCATTTTGGTTATATGTGCATATCACAAGAGGCACACACTCTGTACTCTCTCTCTTCACATTCTTAAAAGTAATCAAAAGATAGTTTAATAGTTAGGAAAAATAACTATCAAGTGAAGATTTAAGAGCTGATACATTAGAATATAGAAAGACAAGAAACTATGAATTCTGATACAGTTCATTTAGAATATAAATTAGTATTCCAGATACACACGAAATAATCCTAACTTTTGGCACCATCGCCTCGCTATAGGGTCATAGCAAGACTGCCTTTAAAAGTAGCAATGATTATTGCCCTCCAACTCTTTGGAAAAATGGAATTTTAATGCAAAATAATTTTAGTGCAGTTGAGATTCAGATATTTCTTCATCAGAAAAGAACATTATAGACAATGTATTTAGTAGTGTTACCAAATATTTTGGGCTAGTTTGTGCTACCCTTACTCGCTTTGAGTAGTGCTTTATTTCTCAAATAATTCAGTGGAAATTGAAAGGAATACTTCAGAAAGTATTTACGAAGAGGAGTAAGGATGGCAATTTGATCCTAAATGAGCAACTTTTCAGTGTGCAGATCCTTGAAGTATGTACTTATTCTTCAATGAGGAATTAAATTTTAGAGTAAGTGCTGTAAAGTAATGAACTTATATTTCAAAAGGTGATATAACAGGGGAAACATTTATCTTTTTTTAAACAATGATATACAAAAGACAATTGCATAGTTACAATTCAAGCACAAAGTCACTGTAAATAGTTACAAAGGCATTTATAAATGTGCTAAGTTTGCTGCTGCTGAAAGACAACCAAATCCTGGATAGGTATTAATGTAAACCTGGAGAAAAAACCAGTCCGTGTGTTTGCTTAAAAACAGATAGTGTAAAGGAACAGCTTTTAGAGATCTTCATTTTAAAAATATTTTTATGCAGCAGGTATAACAGTTTAAATCCCAAAGAAAGCCATCTGAAATGCCCAATTTCCTCATATACAGCAGAAAATGTTTGTTCATTGGTTTCAACCCTACATATAAAATGAGGCACTAGTTACACATATTCTGGACTATGTTCACACTCATGTTTCAGTCCATCTTCAGACTTGTACTTGTGCAGCATTTGTTGGCTCCTAGCCTCCTAGGGAAACAAGTCTTCAGAAGGTGGTGCATAAGAAAATCCAACAAATGCATCATCTGCCTCCAGCACACTGGCATTTACAATGTTATAACCAGAGGAAATGCAAACTGAATAAGGAACCATTTCTTCCGTAAAAGCTGCATCAAAATTCCTTATATCATCTGGGCCAACCTAAGAATGAGATACACACACCAGCATTAATCATATTAATATGGCATTTGTATTTTTAAATGCTTTTGTCTGTTAAATATTTTTCATTTTAGTAAAATTCAAAGTTGTCTACGTTATGAAGTTCTCCCTTTCATAAAGAGAGCAGTTAAGTAAATCCCATGCCTGAAAACAGCTTTTGAAGCGGTTTTTTATGGGGTGTAATTCAGGCCAAAAGATCAAAGTGTCAGTAAATTTGCCAAATCCACATATACTGTGCAGTACTTCCAGAAGGAAAAAGACAAAGAAGTGCTGCTTAAGAGATGGTGAAAAGAGATACAAAAACAAGAAACCAACACCTCCTTTTTCTTCTATTCACCCTCCTTCCTAGTCATGCATTCTCCTTCCTTTTTTAAATTTTTTTTAAAAATCACTCTTCATTTTCCTGTTTTTCTCCCCATTTTTTCTTTCTGCCCCTTTTCTTTACACAGGTTTGTACTGTATTAGTATTTTTCTAAGAGAATTTGAGCTCAACTATCTGTATGTCAAATGGCAGCTCTCCTGGAATCAGTTTAGTGACTGACAAACACGGATTCCACTAGTGACAACAACTGCAGTATGACAATAACTACACAAAAATGGTACCTCTTGCACCTCTTAGTGGGGCCTCAAATTTAAAAAACGCAACTTAGAGGAGTGTTCCCTCACTACCTAAGCACACATAATGCATCAAACCTATTGGGTAGGAGCTGCCCATCACCCAAACAGTTGGAGATGTAGGGGGAAAGAAAAATCTCCCCTTCCCAGTAGTCAGGGTGGAAAATGGGAGAACAGAAGGTGGAGAAAGGTCTCAGAGAGCTGTAAAACAAGTCATAGTGCAGTATTCTGACCCTGTGCCATGACATGCAAGTCACGAAAGCACAACTTTATCACATTGTGATCCAACACTATGACAAAAGCACAATGCAATGTCAGGATGGCATGCTGCTCATCTCATTCAATAACAAAAATGGCTCTCTAGCTCTTCTAATTTAAGAACCATTGCTCTAAACAGTTCAGAAATGGTCACCAACACTGTTTGAGAGGTACTGGGGTTGCCATTCTCTGCAACATTTAGATAGATGTTCTCACCCCATAGATTCTGCCCCACTACATGAAGAGATTCGGGACATATAAACTAAATATACAGATTGCACCTACCACATTAGGATTAAATGGTGGTGGAATCTTCTTTTGGAGAAGGTCAGCCCAGCTGAGAGATTCAAAGAAAGGATGCCTTTGAATTTCAAGCTGCAACAGTGAGCAAAGATAAACTTGGTTATTTCCATGATATACCCTACAGCACTTGAATACAATGTTGTTTCAGAGATCCTTCCAGCATGCTAAAGTAAAAGAGTTTCTTGGATTTGGTGCAGGAACGAGCAGGGGAGAAAGTAAGGCGGTATGGGCCGGTACAGCATACCGGTAAAAAGGGCAGCTGGTACCAGCCCGTACAGCTGACTTTAAAGCCCTGCCACGGCAGGGCTTTAATGTCATTGCCCCTTTTCCTGCCCCTGCGCCCTCCCTCCCCCCAGGTCGCTGCTGTCAGGGGTGGGGGGAGGGTGGGAAAAAAGGAGCAGCTGCCCGGGGCTGGCGATTTAAATGGGCCTGGGGCTCCGGCTGCCGCTGCCACAGCAGCAGCCCCAGGCCCTTTAAATCGCCGCTGGAGCCCCAGGCAGTGCGGGCCAGGCAGTGCGGATAGGCTGGCTGGGGGACACTGACCCCCAGCCCCGCCTCTTCTGCCCGAGGCCCTGCCCCTTCCAGGGGAATGGGGGAGCTCAGAGCCAGCCTCCGTACCAGTAAGAGTTCAATTTTACTTTCACCCCTGGTAATAATAAAGTTCAAGCCCATTATTTGTTTTACAATTTGTATTAAAAGGTATGGCTGGAGTGGCTAAAATTTGATGGGGAAACATTTCTGAAAAGGCTGGCCAGTACATTTTATTTTCTGCTTAAATCGATGTCTTAACCAAAACCTGGTTTCAAGAAGGTTTTTCAAGTAGTATTTATGTTCATGTTCCTGCTCCAAGCTAACAAAACTTAATATGAGCACTGTTCCAGATGGAACGCCTCCAGGAAATCAGCAGTATGTTTTCTGTTTATGTCTATAGTAAACAGTTATGTCCTCCCAAACATAACTGCCTTTCATTTACTGTGTGCTGCAAAAAATGTAAATTGTACTGTAGCAATCTAACAGAACTTTTAAGTTTGTGTATGACTAGATCAACACATTACAGAACATTAATAAGACTCTAAGCCTAAATACATCAATCGGGGGTAAAACTGCAAGAGCATTTGATATCCTGCCTGCACAATTCTATGACAACTTCTCTATGCATCTTTACACAAACTTAAGGAACACTGTCAAAATATTATTTGATAGAAGTTTGCAAAACACTAGCCATTATTTGTAAAGCCATTTTGGAAGCCTGAAAAAATAGTTGTTTCCTTGCCTTTTTCTTATTTGACAAATAGCATTTTTCTCACCGTTGAAGCTGAATTTACCAAAAAAGAGTAGCTCTTTTTGTTTTGGTAACTTCCTTGTTTGAGTACTAGCATCATCAATTATATCAGCACAGCTCAGGGAATATGATGTTAGGAAATGTGTTTCCTTTGCTGGCAGGTATTGCAGCAGTCAAGCTCAAACCATTGTAAGTTCTGCATAATAAATGTGTCTTCCCCTGCCCTTCGGGTTTTTGGTGACAACTAGGGTATTTTGTTTTAAAGTTGATATTCAGCATTCAAAGGACATTCTCTACCTGTTTCTTACAAATAATGTTGAATTGTGGCCTTAAATTTGACAATGTCCCTTTAATAAATTAGTGCCCGATTAATTCATTGCCAGGAAATTACATACAAAGTCTTCTCTTGCTCCAAGTCTCTTTTGCCTGTCTTTCTCCAAGAGTTCTTCCAGAATAGACCAGGCTGTAAGACTGACTCCTGGGCGCACATCTAGAGGTTTGTGAAGAATATTTTCATACATCTCAGCAACATCACGGCAGTAAAACGGAGGCTGAACAAAAACAAAATGAAGAATTGAAATGGGGCTTTGAAACGGTACTGTTCAATAAAAACTTTTTTCAAATGTGAGAGTAAACTGTTCCATCAGAAATGCCAATGATCAGCAGTGAAAAATAGTTTCACCTAGTGGCAGTCTGATTTCAGATAGAAATTCAATTTTTTAACCAGAATTCTTCCCTCCCCGCAAAAAAAACCCAACTCCACACTTCTTCATGAATGGACCAATTCCTTTATCCTCACATAACACATGCAGTGACACCAGGATTGCATTCCTCTGTTAGCACTTTCCTGCATCTCCTGTTCTCTGCCCAGATGCGCTCACATTCATTGGTAGCTGTAGAAGTTATCCACATTTAAAAATCTTACTGAATGTGAGCAAAAGAGCATGAGTGGTTGAACAAACTTTTGCATGTTTTCCCAGGTGAAGTAAGGAAATTCATTTGCATGTGAGGAGGGAATGTCGTTTGTGAAACACAAAACAAGCTGTTTTTAGGGAGGTTACAAGAAATAAACCCTAGCTGAAGTGTGGAAAGATTTGTTTTTTACTGCTGTATTAAGAAGTAATCTGGGGGAAATTGGAAATGTTAGGGTTAAAAATCCTTTGCTAATGTCTTTGGTACCACTTTTGGCTGGTAGTACTTTACTTTTATAGGGCAGCACCACTGCTGCTTCAATAGACTCTTGCATTTATGCTGGGTTAAATCTGCTTGACTCCACTGGATAAGAATTATTAATGTCACATCAGTTTGGAGAGCAGAATTTGAGACATCAAAACAAAATTCAAGAGACAAAACTAAATAGTAAGTTAGAAAGTTACAAAACAAGTTATTCATCAGTTAAAGTGTGTTTTAACCGTTTTGAAAAGTTATATATTATTAACTATAGTATTCAAGTAAAGAGTTTGAAAGGAAAAAGATAAAATACTTACCAACCCATAAAGCATTTCATATAGAACCGCACCAAGGCACCACCAGTCTACTGTGTTGTCATAGGGCTGTTTTCTGATCACTTCTGGGGCAAGGTACTAAGAAAAAAAAAAGTTAGGCTGGTTATATTCAAATCTAGCCTTTATCCAAGCAACTATTTTACAATACATCTTTAGGAAAGTTACTGTATAGATTACTAAAGATTTCTCTTGTCCTTTAACAAACTCGGTAAATCTCTCTGACATCCAGCCGATTGTTTAAATGGACAGCTGTTGTTTCCCAGCTCAAGTTATCCTTTATACCCATTGACAATTTGCCAAATTACTGTGCCATCTCTAATCTGACAATTCTTTCAAGTTTCAGGGAAAGGTCACTGCACTGTAGCTTCACAGACAACTAAGCAGCAGCTGAAACCACAGTGTGGGAATCTGCAAAGGAACAGTTTCCCTCTGCCAATGGCATCTCTTTCTCAAGGGCAAGCTGTTCATTAACCAATCCTGTTGCCCCCCCTTGAATACTGAATGAGGGGTTTAAAAAGTGGGAAATAAGAGGAAGCATCTCATTCTGCTTCAAACCAAGAAAATGTTTCTTACTCCTCCCTACTGTTACTGCATAATCACATGATCTATATTTTAAGTTTCAATGAGGCTTCAGACAAATAAATCATCAATTGTGAAAATCGAGATTTTTTTTGGTCACAAATTAGTCAGGGGACACAGATTTGAAGGACACATTCCATACCATGGTTTGCCATCCTTTTACATCAATTACTGGATGGCAACAAGACACTATCAGGTTTCTAGGTGCCTCACAAAAAAGTTTATTCAGGATTTAGGCACTCATATGGTTCCCAGCACCATAATAGCGGAGTAGATACATCTGGTACAGAATCTCCTAGGCCCACCAGGCTATTCTGTACAGATACACAGTTATTTAGAATTTTGACGATATGGCTGGATCATTCTTGTTCTCACAGCCTTGACCTGCAATGCTTTTGCTCCTTCAGTCCTTGCCTCTCCTCCCTCTTAAGCAGAGATTGCCAATTCTACTTTATAGTCAGTTACGTGATATGGACAAATATAGGGACCAGAGAGAGATCATACTAGACACTCAGGTACCGTTGTAACGAGTGGAGTTTAAATATTAAGCTAGATCATTAAACTTTTAGCAGCTCATGAATGATCTGAATCGAAGTCTCAGAATATTCAGACTGGTACACAACCCACAACGCTCAAACTCAGTCAAAGGTTTTTATAAACTGGGGCCTCGGGCAATAGTGTTTCAGTCCTCTTGTGTATGTCCAATATGAATTACACCAAATGTGTTAAAAAACTTGCTCTTAGGACAAGTCAAAGTTTTTTCTTTGCAATCCATTTCACAATTGGTCATAACAAATATTTAACCACAAGTGCTCTATATTTTGGCATTCAAATTTTCCAACAAAGTTCAATAGACACATTGTTTCTCTTCAGGTTTGATTACTATATGTTTTATTTTATGGACTCGTAGATAGATTACAACTCACATAAATTGCTGCCACAAGAGTTTTCACTGACAGACACTTCACCATTTGTACAATCCTTGTCAACTACAAAACTTCTAATTCATGTAAGATTATCTATCTGTCCATCAACTTTGAAAACTACCAACACTCCCCACCCACCACCCCAAAAAATGAAACCCTCTCCCCCAGTTTATTGTGGCAATTTGCTTGTGCTGGCTAAAACTCAAGGAAGTTAGCTTACTTCTGGTGTCCCACAAAAGGTTGCGGTGGTGTCCGAGATAGCAATCCCTTCTTTACAGAGTCCAAAATCTGTTAAGACTACATGTCCCTGTAGAGAAAAAACAAAAACAAAACAGATCTTACTGAAAATAAAATCAATTTATGACTGTATCATAACATTTTGCATTTACACAACTGTAAGTGTTCATGTAAAGAGACAATTTTGGACATCTGATAGGATATGCTTACCAGTGAGTCTAAGAGAATGTTTTCTGGTTTCAAATCCCTATTAAAAACAAAGTCTTATATTAATCCTCCTATGAGTGTAATCAAAAGATGAAGAGAGAGAGGTTTATACTAATAAGTAGTCACTTATTTTTTAAAAATTGAGTCAGACCTCTCTTTAAAAAAAATAAATAAATGGTAAGCTTAAAGTCATAAGTCCACGTGTAACTAGGTTGAATAAAAACAGCAAATGCAGCTTTTCTTGATTTGCTACATTTATCTTAATGCAGAACAAAAATAAGTTTTAGGAAATGGTTACCTGTATACAATATTTATGGAGTGCAAGTAGCCCAATGCACTGGCTATTTCAGCAGCATAAAATCTGGCTCTCTGTTCAGGAAAGGAGCGTTCTCTTTGTAAATGAAAGAACAGCTGTAAATATACAAAGATACAAATGATAAGACAAACTGGCATAAAAATATCAAAATTACAAGATGCAATCCTTTGCAATAACAAGCAAGTCACTTTCAGTTAGCTTTTTTATGACAAGCTAGCAGAACTGTGAAACAAATTAAATGTTTTCCTTTTACATAACCATTTATATCCTTCCTTTAGCCACGTCTTTAATTTTCTCACTTGTGTAACCCCCAGTGGTACTTAGAGTGCAATGAGTTAATAGACAGGAATACAGGATGTTTCCCAGAAAGCCAAGTCCAGCCAATACAAATTTACTCCTGAGGGCATTCTGCACCAAAAAATTAAAAATTCTGCAAATTTTATTTGTCAAATAAATGTGGAGGCTCCAGCATGGCATTGGGGAGCACAGGCCACTGGCTGTACAGAGATGGAAGATTACTGTGCAGCTCCCTCCTCCCTTTCCTCCAGGACACGGACTCAGCGGTGAGGCTGCACCCGACCCTGACACAGCGCAAGGACCAGGCCAGGTGCACCAGGTGGGGGTAGGCAGGCTCAACAAGGCAGGATCCAAGTGCGGAGGGGCTTAGTGTCAGGGGATCCAGGTGTGGGTTGAGAGGGTTCTGTGTGGGACAATCTGGGTGTGGGCTTCTCAGTGGGGGGATCCAGGTGTGGTGGGGCATCTGGATGCACAGGGGCTTGTTGGGGGGTTCTGGGTGCAATGGTAATGGGACTCTGCAGGGGGGTCCAGGTGAAAGTGGTTGGGGCTCAGAAGGGGTGTATGTGGGGGGCACAGAGCTTGTCAGGGG